ATATGTAAGGCATAAAATGAAAAATAGGTTAGCTTCTCACATTGCCATAAATCACTGGGTGATTAGTATCCTTGATAGAATGTGAGATGGGAACCTATGTGTGTATTTTGTGTGGCATAATCAGTCCAATCTCATATTCAAGGAAAGTGTGTTTTCAACATGAGTACATATCCATTAAGAAATATTCAAATATTTTCAGTAAACAATAATAGATGAGTTGCATTTTTTTGTGTGTAACTTACTTCTGTCTATACTGAGTAAGGAACTCAGTACCGAGTATACAAATGAAGAATATATGAATGAAAGTCTTAAGGTCTTATTAGTGTGGTGACCTAAAATATCCAGTGTCCCATTTACTGAATGTTCCCTCACATTCTTATTAAAGAATGTGTTCCCCTAAAGCAAAACTTAATCTAGTTCCAGTATTTATTAGATATATTAATGAACAAATGTTTATATGCAGCTTTATTTTATGAGACTGAGTTAGTTGAGCTTTGTATTAAAACTACCTTTGTTCAGTTGGAGAGAATCCTGAAGCAAAAAAGTCAAACTATTTCCCAAGAAGTTGAAACTTATTATTTTCAAGATTCCAGCTGTAAAATTCTTAAATACATTATGCAGTGTTTGAGGTCATTATTACATCAGAACGAGAGAGTACAGATGTGGAGAAATATGATTTTAAGAGAGGCTAACATTACAAAGAGCTTTTATTTTTCATAAGCAAAACATATCGACTCTAATGTTTGCTGAAATTTGTTGCCTTTTGAATATTTTTGTTTTAAAGTATAAGTAAAGCTTTCTAAATTGATCTGGAAAACAGTGGAACAATATAGAAGGGTTCATTCTAAGCTAGGGACTGCTTATGTTAAATCTTTTAAAGAAATCAAAATGCAAAACCACTCTACACCATTGCACCCCTCAACTTATTTCAAATTAAAGTGAGAAAGGTATTTACTTGGTTTGTATTTCTGTAGGCCAAAGCAGTGGGCCTGATTCTGTGACGGCTATTGCAAGGATTGTAGAGCAAGGATCTATAGTCTTCCCTGGCTGTTCCATTCACTCAGTTCTCCTTATTCACCGTAAGGGTGCCATTTAGTAGATCACTGATTCTGTGTCTCACTTAGTGCTCTGGAGGGCTTGACATGTATACCTCTAATTTATTATCAAGTTCTTAATTTATATGCAAGAACTAAATTCCTCACTGGCATATTCATCTATACATAAATATTATTGTTAGCTATTTCATGTATTGTGGAAATTCCAAATATCCAAATTTAGGATTATACAGTTGGGGCCAAGTTTTTAAGATCAGCATTAATATCATCAAGGATGTGTTACCCAAATCCTCAAGACAAGTGTGAGAGAAAATAGATTGATTTCTAAATTACCTATAAAGCCATTGCTATGTTTATATAGTGAGCATGTCTCTAGGACTTCTTAGTAAATATGAATGAATGTAAATTATGCCTACATGTAATATGATTTCTCATGTTCACCTCTACTACTAAAAATAAAACAACATTGTTTTCTGGAATAAAATGAGTATATATTACCAGAAGATGATTTCTCTAATTACAAACACTACAGATATTTTTAGTACAATGATATCAAAACTCATTAAAATGGTGATATGAAGCAAAATGAAGAAACTATGTCTTTTCCATTCAGAAAAATAAAATGATTCTAGAAGGTAGGAGGTGTAATTTATATACAGAATGGCATGTTTATTGATTGTTTGGTAGGTTAAAATCATGTGCCTGAAGCAAGTACGGATGATACTGAACGAATAGTCTTCCCATAATGCTTTGTTAGCGAGACTGAACCACTGCTAGAGTGCCAGTCTTTGCCAGCTGCACTTTTCCTCTTGTATCTTGTTGAGGCTTGTTTTAATGATGCTTTTGGGGGAGTTGCAGAACTTAATTTTATATGTTAATGTGACATGCAGCTGTATATGTTAGAGAGCTCCAGAGATGCCCATAGTTAAAAATAACTCTTTTTTATTGCCCTCCAGGCTCTCACCCTAGGTATTAAAATGTTAACTGGTCCTCACCAAGGTATACCCAAATCATTGTTAAGATGAGATCCAAAGTTTTATTTCCATTTTCATATGAGGAATTTGCATGCAATTTAACATTACATTACATTTAACATGCAATTTAAATATCTATGAGGCTTATTTAATGATAAGGACAAGTTCCAAAGTTTAATTTATTTTTGAAAGTAAAAGAATTGAAGGTGAAATGGATATTTGTATTCTAATGTATAGTGCAAGAATTTGTATGCATTTTAGAACTCTTTAGAATTCCCTTTAGAAAGTTTTTTTGTCAATACTATTTAAGTAACAAATCTCAGGATGATTTCACAATTGTATTTAGAACATTGGTAAAATAAATATATCAATAACTTCTCTCTAGAAGCACATACATTAAAAATAGAAAGAAAATGTAATATATAGAAAAATTATGAACAGTGTATTAATATAACTTAAATGTCAACTTGAATAGATCAAATATAATTGCAGTATATTTTTATTTGCTTTTTCTCTCCATTTCACTGTAGTTAGGTGATTTAAGATATCTTAAGGGCTCTTGAATGACAAATACATCTAAGTGTATGAATAAAACTTGAAAAGCCACCGATCCCCATTGTGTATTTTTTCTCACACAAGAACACTGCATATATTAAGTATATTACTTCAAGTTTACTCAAATTCTATTAACTATATTTACTAAAAAAGTGCCAATTCTATAAGATAAAGAGATAAAAATAATTTCTTTTCAAAAATTGCACAAGAATGGGTTATGTTATCTATTTTGTATAATATGTATATAATCACTAGAAAATGATATAGAATAACATAGGTATCATTTTTATACCAAAATATACACATATGTAAAAAACATTCTAGAATGTGTAACCAAGGACTAGACCTTATTAGTACATGTCAGTTGGACAGATCACATAGTAGTTTTCAACCAATTTTGTAATGAAAATATTTTCTCAACCTACCATTTTGGCTATATTGTCTTTACACAGTAATAAATGGAAATTTTGTATTTAATAAATTCACTTTTGTTATAAGAGCTTATGCATAGTAAATTTACCTCCTTAGGGCTTCACTAAAAATAGTTTAAATATTTTCATTTTAGTCAGTTATTTTAATGTTATATGGTTAATGATATACCACATCAACTTAGTATTCATCAGTGTACTTTTTCACATACTTATCATTGTGTAAACACAATCAAAATATCATTTACTCATTCATGTATTCATTCATCAATGTGACAAATATTTTTAGTGTCAACCCTGAGTCAGGTGCCAGGCCACTACAGAAATTTATAGATGAATGCTAGTTGCTGCCATTTAAGAAAATGACAACTAGTAGTAAGAGAGCCAGAATCATACGCAAATGACTATGTTGCATTGCAGAATGGAAATCACTGTGACAGGGATACAGAAAGATGCGTTCAGAGAGGGAAAGGTTGCATTGTTGAGGTATCAGAAAAAAAAATGAATGCAAAATTTGAACTGGATTTTAATCAATGGAAATTGTTAGGAAGAACATCCAAAATTCAACCAGTGTATGTAAATGTATGGAAGCATGGAAAAATATTTTGGAGACTTGAGGATAAAATTTAGTATAATTAAAGATGATAGTTGGAGATGACGTATGAAATATACATTAGGGCTACACTTCGGAATCTACCCTATTATTTTATTGAAGATTTTGCAGGAGACAGCTAATATTATAGAAACATAACATATTTACTGTAATTTCACAAGACCATGTCTATTATAGTTTAGGGCAGCCCTTACAGAATATAGAGGTATCAGTTGAGAGGCACTATAGTAATCCAAATGAAAAATAACAAGGTCTTAACTGGAGAAGAAATAGAGTTAATGAAAAGGAAGAGATCCATCATAAGACATTTGTGTTACATAATGTTTAGGATTTGACAACTTATGTGTTGTGAGGTACACAAGAATAGGGCTTTGATCTCAAGGGATCAAGAACATGGCAGTGTTATTAACAGGAAAAGAAGTTGGTGGATCAAGATTGAAAGTAAAGAGCAATGTATAGATTTATTTTTTTGATCTATTGAGTTTGAATTGAATGCCAGTGAATATCCCTATTGAAAAATCTATGAAAAATAAGAGTATAACTTTCAAAAGAATTAAACCAGAAGTATTAGGTAAAGTATTTGATGGCATTAATTAAACTGATAAAAATGGATTAACAATAGAGAACCAGAATAGTTCATGCACAGGACCTATGGACATGTCCATATAAATGAAAAAAGGAGAAAGAAGCATCAAAAAAGAATGATTTCAGTCCATCATGAATGATTAAAAACTAAAAAAAATAAAAAAGTCATTTAGAGGTGAACATGTCATTAGTGAACTTTAGAAAGACATATTTTGTAAGTAATAGGAGCAGGTTACAAGGACTTGCAAATTAGGAAGTAGTTGAGAAAAACAGGACAGACTAAGATTTGGTGAGTGGAGCTGAGAGAGTCCAGGTTTTGGTGAATTTGATAGTGATCTGATTGGATGTAAGTGGAAAAGAGCCAGCAGAGCAACTAAACACTACAAAACAAGATTAAAAAATAAAGCTAAATGATAGAGAAAGGTGCTGAAAGTGGGAGACTATTAGATCACAGACACGTTTTGGGAGTTCATTCTGAAAAAAGGCAGTGGCCTCTGAGCTGGCAAAAAAAAAAAAAAAGAAAGAAAGGGAACAGAAAAATGTATTGTATATGATAATGGTGAAGAAACTTAAAAATTGAGTTTGGATGGCTTCAGACTTCTCAGTGAAATATGGATGAGTGTGGGATATTGGCAAGAGAAATATGACACATCCAAAAGGAGTGTTGGTGTTACTTCATATAGTGTGAAAATTAGTTAGATTTGCAACCATTTCCATTGCATCTCATGCTTCTGGGCTTGATGTGATTCACCACTTGGAGGTGTGGTTAATTGCACTTACTCTGTTCCAGGCGGTGTGGTTACAGCAAAGCCAAACAAGATCCAGAAGAGGAAAAGATGCATTTTCATAATGGGCACAGTAAGCAAATTGTAACAACTCAAACGATAGCAAACTAGGGGAGACTTTTTGTTATTTTGGTTTATTTTCAGGTGAGATTTGTAATAACTGACCAAAATTATTATGTTAAAAAATGTTAAATGTGAAGTTTACATTCCTGTAAAGCATATAAGGCTTGGGGCATTGCCAGCTGATCCTAGGCAACAGAGAGATGGTTTATTTAATTCTTTAAAGCATACTTTCATTGTAATCATTAAAATACAAACTTTTTGCTTAATATAAAAAGTTATTGTATTTCATATCAAATTCCCAGGCCAATTCTAATTCCTAGCAACACATTCAGTAGAAATCTATCTTTAAATAACACCACCAGATTACAGGAATGAAATCTCTCAGTGTTTTTTTGTTATTTTTCTAGCATTACAGCAGGAATTGCCCTGAGCCTATCTTATAGCAGCAAGCTTGGTTCAAATGACTTGAAAAAGACTGCACTTTTAAGAAATGCAGAAAATCAAGTTTTAATAATGAGCTTTAAAAATTAGCCTAATGAGTGCTAATTAATTGTGTTTTAATGTGTTGATTTTGTCATTCACAGTAAAGTGTGAGTTGTTTTTGTCAAGTAAATGACAAAGAGTTTCTTTTGTTTTTGTCACTCCTCCATGACCATGAAGTCAAAATCATTAAAATATAATTCATGCTGTTACATGTTGAGTCCTTTTTTCATAGTCTCAGCTTACTTAACGTTATTTATCCTCAAAAATCACTGTGATGATTATATTGGTAGCTTTTAAATGTGATAAACTGAGGCTAATAGAATATAAAAGTCTTGCATAAGGCCAATCGTAACAGGTAGAATTGATGTAGAAATTCTTTTCTTTTGACTTCTGTGTCAATCTTATTGGACCAAATCACCAGAAAAGTTACTTTAAATTATTTTTTGTGAAACAAAAATTAATCATCTCTGATGGCAATTTAGGTGAGACATAGGCTAAAGCCAACAAATAAATCACTGGCATTTCATTGGCCAGTTTAGTAAACAAAACTGTCTTCATTTGCCTCAGAGACTGACTCTCCTAACATTAGTGTTGAAAAATGTATTTACTCATATAAGTCAGCACATATGCATTTCTTGTATATGCCAACCATACAGATTTCTAAAATTATAAAAGTGAGATAGCTGAACAAGTGATTCCTATAACTCACGAGAGGGCCTGTTTTTGCTGCTCAGCCACTTCTAGGAATTAGGGATTTAAGCCACAGTTGCATGTTAATAATGTTTATAATTTCACTCATCCATCACAAGCCCTTCTATTTTAATGCTAATTTACTTTTTCAGTTAAACTGCCAGGAGTAAGAACTTATATTGATCCACATACCTATGAGGATCCCAATCAAGCTGTCCATGAATTTGCCAAGGAGATAGAAGCTTCATGCATCACCATTGAAAGAGTCATTGGAGCAGGTACCACAGTGTGTTTAACTCAGACTTTTAACTTGTGTTCAATCATAGAATGTCACGTCAATGTCCTGATCTAACACAGAATGCTTTTAGTCTTTTGTAATGGACTTGCTTTCAAAGTAGTATATAACTGATCATATTTTAATGCTACCTTCTGTGTAACTCATACTTCAACCAGCAAATCTCTAGTTTATGAAATAAAAAAATAAAGCAGCGAAGAATACATAATTTAAACATAGCATTTCACCATCTGCTGTTTATTATTATATATACATAATCCAAGTACACAGTTATTCTATTTATGAATCATCTCTTCCTTACAGTTGTTTCCTTTTTGTCCTGCTATAACCCTTTCTCCTTTTCTCATTCTCATTTATGGCACAACTAGAGTAGAAAGAGAAGAAAGAAGGAAATCATTTAAGTCAGTTGCTTTTAATTTCTTTGTAACATTTCCATTAAAGTTTTTTGTAGGTAAGATGGATGAAGCTAATAACCCCAAAAGTGTTTTATGATCACTTGTAGATGGTTTTTCTCAGTGCACCATTTATTTCTCTTAACAACATCGATAACAAAATTTGGACTCCCCTTTTAACTTTATTTCATCTAAACATTAACACTCTGAGAGTGCTTTAGAGTATTATTAGAGTAAGAGTTTCATATGTTTGTGTATTTTTTCCATCTTTGTCACAAGGTGAATTTGGTGAAGTTTGTAGCGGACGTTTGAAACTTCCAGGAAAAAGAGAATTACCTGTGGCTATCAAAACCCTTAAAGTAGGCTATACTGAAAAACAGCGTAGAGATTTCCTCGGTGAAGCAAGTATCATGGGGCAGTTTGATCATCCTAACATCATTCACTTAGAAGGTGTTGTGACCAAAAGTAAGTACAATGGCAAA